TCTGCATGTGCTCAGAAGCTTTTTGATGGATATTAGTTGCTCCTGTAGTTCCTACAGCAAATGATAACACACAATTAATATCATGCTGCCTGATTGACCTGATATCAGTAAAAGACATACAGACTCTACAAAAGCTCATGCGAAGGACAAAAAACATAAGAGCACTTAGACAAACTGAGAACATTGTATTTTTATTTTCAAATAGTAAATAGCTATTTAATAGCTGATTTAATTTAATCCTTTGCTGTTTATATATATATATAATAATAACAATAAATGTTTCTTGAACAGCATATTAGAATAAATTTGAAGGATCACTTTGTGACACTGAAGACTGAAGTAATGATGCTGAAAATTCAGTTTTGCTATCACAGGAATAAATTAAATTACATTACATTTTAAAATAAATTAAAATGTAATAAAATTAAAGTTATTTTACATTGTAAATAGTGAATATACTATTTTTACTGCATTTTGATCAAATATATGCAGTCCTGGTGAGCATTAACAGCAAATATTCTTTCAAAAACATTCAAAAATCTTAGAGACCCCAAACTTAGTGTAATAAAAAAAATAATAATAAAAAATAACCATTTATACATAGCACCTAACAAATGTGTGTGTTTCTGCATAACTACTCTCACTTCCTGCAGAGCTGAGTTGAAGCATATCCAATTAGAATTTATAGTAGATTTTAACAATCAAGCAACAATAGTTAACAACTGTATCTTAATGATTATTATTCTGTGATCGATAATACTTTTATTATATAGTATTGCACTAAGGCAAATGAAACACTCACTCTGAAACGCTGTAGCTCTTTGGCCTGACTGTAGAGGTTCTTGGCCACACTTGTAAGTTTAAAGAGCGGTTGCTGCCATATAGAGTTTAGTAAATGTGTTGAGAAATCGCAGACTGGATACCGTGCAAAATCCCAGTTATTCAGAACCCGACCTGGAATCACTGATTCCAAACCGCCGTGGCAGCCATCACAAAAATATACAGAGTACACTTTCATGACTATTCTTAATACACTTAAATACGATTTAAAAAAAAGTGTGCTTTATAATAATGTCAACTGAAAAAGTTTGCTTTAAAGAGAATTTAAATCATGTTTTAATAATCTTTTGTTGTGCTTTAAAGATGTACACTTATTTTGATGCATTAAAAAACAAAAAGCATATGCAAAATACTTGATTTTATTTTTAACTATAGTGTGTTATTCAATATTCCATTTAGAGTAAATATATTTTAAATGTACTAAACTGCAGCTTCATCGTTACAAATGACTAATTACAAATATATTTAAATACATGAAATTTCAATAGAAACAACATTAAATATCAGTTTACCATAAATACTTAGTGTTTGGCAGTTACATATAAAGATGTGCTTAAGTCCCACTTAAGTACATAAGCATTCTTATTGAATTAAATGTTAATATAAATTTAATATAAATACACTTATAAATATAAATTTAAAGAAAATGTAATTGAAAAATGCAGTTAAGCATACAAAAACATTACATTCAATTTGCACTTAAGTATATCCTAAAAGTAAATGCTAAAGTATATGCTAATGTTTTTCATAAGTGTAACACTGACCAAGAGAGTCAGGCTTTCATCAATGTATAAACTCTGTCAATGTGGACATGGTGGTCTTTCTGACCTGTGTGTTGGTTGGACACAGAAGATGATTTGAAATCTGGGTGGAGCCCAGGTTAATGTTCCTCTCATTCTGGTCTTCTGCAAAATCTCTTCAGTTAGACTGATCCTGTTCTCTCCCATAACAGGGACAGAGACTTGGGGAAAAGACAGAAGTGTGTGTTTTTTTCATTTATTAGAAGTGATAAAATAAATATTGCAAAAAATGAATGTCCTTAAAAAATGAATGCCCTTAAAAATGTTTAATGTGTGTACAGTGTGTCGCAGATAAAAGGAGATGTGTGTCTGTTTTTGTGGCTGCACCTGTGTGTGCTCATTGCATGAATGTGTGTTTATGCATAACCATTCCCACTTCCTGCAGAGCAGAATTGAGGTTGTCAGGGTTTTGCAGTAGCTCAGAGGGGAACCACTGCTTCCTGAACTCTGACACCAAATGGTGGGCTAAATCTTCAGCAGAGCGCTGCATTCTGGAGCTCTGGAGACAACTGCAAATAAAACAATTCTATCTGGAAATTATGCATAAAAAACTAAAAACAATGACATGACTTTGAATGTGCAGAATTCACTGCATGCCTCTGAAAAGAAGCCAGGGAGTATCTGTTTGAAGATAGTTTGGGGGCGCTGTCATCTAGCAGAGATACAAAGAGAAAGAGAAACAAATACATTTCATATGACCAATACAATTTTTCTTTGAATTTGCTTCAGAATATGAATAGATTTTCTTTTCAATGTGTAAAATCTACTAACTAGCAAACAATCTGTATGGTGGGGTGGCATTCTTTTGCATTTTGACTATAAAAATGCATTTATTTTATAATTAGATCATTTAGGTATCAGCTTAAAATAAGGTTTATACTTTGACATTCAATACTTTAATGTAATAACTAACACGAAACACTTTTTGCACAACATTTATTAATCTTGATTAATGTTACTTTCTAAATGCTTTTTTTTTTTTGCAATGTTAAAATAGTACAATGTTCAAAATAATCAGACTACCAACAGGACTAAAAATGCAACAGTATTACAGTTATATTAATACTTGTATATTAATAATGAAGTCTTCTGAGTTCATTTTTACTACATTTGATAATTGAGACATGGCACTAGTTGTGTTTATATGAATCAATTGAGAGTAATACGAGTCACAGTGTTGCCATGGATGACACTGAAAATGAGAGAATATCTACTAAATTATCAAATATTAATTAACTATAAACAACAGTATATTAATAAGTTAATTATATGCATTACCTACTGTTAATATTTGAACATTATTGTAAAATGCCTATTACTGTACTAAAGTGGATTTCAGCAAAACGCTTGCCAAAAACAAAACTTTAGAAAAGTAAATTACTGCAGAAGTAAACACTTATTAATGATGACCTGTTAGTTTTAAAGAGACCAGGTCAGCATTATCTGATTTTTGGCAGGACCACATCACATACGGATGACACAGGACTTTGTTGCAACACAATCTTTGTTACCCTCAAATCTGCTGTCAAAGGAATAGATTGAGTGTGTTTTTGAGGTATTTTGTGTTTCACATCTGTCTTGATGAGGATGTGTGTTTTTTAAATGCTGCAAACACACAACCCATTTCACGGCCTCCAGCATTTCCAGCACCATATCCACAACCACAAACTGAGCATTTTCCTGCACATAAACAACAATAAAATGCACACTTTACTTTGCCAAAATTATAATATGATACATCTAAAACAGAAGCTGGATTTCCCAAATTGTCAACAAAAAGGGATCCTCTGGAGGGTGTTAATAAACTGTAATTTATACAACTTTACATATTTTGTTACCAATAAAACTTGTAATTATATGGTAGTTGTCATTTCTTTTAGGTAATTTTAATTTAAGATTAATTAAATGTAATAAAAAGTACATGAACAATATCTGGTCTTAATATACAGTAATAATTTAAAAGATTTTTTTATACACAGTATGCAAACAGGCTTTTAAGGTTAAAAAAACTTTGTTAGTTGACATCAGTAGTATTTTAAGCATACTGTTTACAGGGAATCTCAAATATTTAGGCGTTGTTGGCTAAGGTTTCTTAGTTAATATTGCTAGAAATTCCATGTGAAAATGCTTAAAACAAAAATGACAGGGCTGCTCCGGGGTAGATGGTACTCGTCCTCAGGCTCGAACAGGCCTGAATCCCATTCAGCGACTGGAGCATTATATTCACACACCTTCATTCCACTTTCATCAATACCATCATCATCATCAGTGCAGTCAAAGTGATTATCATTTAAATCAGAATTCTCTAACCAGCTAACAAAGCTAGAGCTATTACCCGCATTAGCCTGGAGGATGAGAGAGGACAGAACAGTAAAACACTCAGGGTAGTTTTGATTAAACAGTCTAGTTTATTTTTTAACCATCATCCGAACTAAGTACAGTCACTGAGAGAAACTACAAATCACTAAAAGAAATAGTTCAACCAGAAATGATCATATACTCACCCGTATGTTGTTCCAAACCTGTATGACTTTCTTACGTCCAAAACAACACTGAACCCCTTTGACTTTCACTGTATGGAGAGAAAAAAACAAACTAATTTTTTTAGTCTATCTTCTTCTCTTTTCCTCAGAAGAAAAAAATTCATACAGGTTTGGAACAACACAAGGATGAGTAAATTATGACAGAAATTTTCTGTTTCTGATGCAGAAAAGCTAGTTCATGCATTCATGACCTCTAGACTGGACTATAATGCACTGCTAGGTGGTTGTCCTGCATCTTCAATAAACAAGCTACAGGTAGTCCAAAATGCAGCGGCTAGAGTCCTTAACAGGTCAAGAAAATATGATCATATTACCCCAATTTTACAGTCTCTGCACTGGCTACCTATTAAGTTCCGTATCAGTTACAAAATATTATTACTTGCCTATAAGGCCCTTAATGGGTTAGCTCCTGCGTACCTAACTAGTCTTCTACCACAATATTGTAGAAACTTAATTTGCTGTAAAGTTGCTTTGCAATGATTTGTATCGTGAAAAGCGCTGTACAAATAAACATGAAAATAAACTTTAATTGAACTACTTTACTCTCATGTTACTGTCTATTTACTTTCAGACATACTTTTTTCTAATTACGAGTTATAATTAGAAAAAAAAGAGAGAATAAATAGAGAGCATGCATTTATTGTGTGCATAATACCATAACAACCATGAATTCCCGAAGGGTGAGAGTTTAATATTTTATAAGGTTATCCATTGAGTAAACTTTCCTAACAACATTCTGCATAACGTCTCCATCAGTTTGCTTTTGCTGTGATCGTACAGCAGATGGCGCCATGGTAAAGGTCACGAGCTCAGTTCCATAAACAATATGCGCAGACGCAGACGCGTTATGGACAGTCAGATAGCGCACTAGGAGGAAATTCACCCACTGCTGTTGAGACCAGCATATTTTCTTTGGGATATACCGATCGCAGAGCCTTTCGACGAGCTTTTTTTTTTTTCCGACGGGGCGAACATGGCGACGCTGGGACCGGAGCCCCGTCCTCATTCCCAGCTGACTTCTGCCGCATTACAGACGAACCTGAGCGGACTGGGCTCCAGCACGAGTCTGCCTCTAAACCGGGGCTTGGAGAGAGCTCTGGAGGATGCGGCGAACTCCGGATTTCTGAACCTCAGCACAAGAAAACTGAAAGAATTCCCTCGGACAGCATCTAATTACGACCTAACGGATACTGTTGAAGCAGGTAAAGTGAAGTGATGCTGTATTTATGTTTAGCACGTTGTGTGTGTGCGCGCGCGCCTGCTCTGTTAAATTGCGCTTAGAATCGTTTCAAACGGCAGTGCTGCCCAAAATGTGTTTTGTCGCATTTTAACCACTTAAAGATGTTTTGGCTTTTTAAAACGTTAACTGTAGACCTGTAACTCAACAGAAAGCAGATGAAACGTCTGCGTCAGCATTTGAATGTTACAGAACATGTTGTTGCAGACGGGACAGTGTCCTGGGCCGGGATAAAGAGATGTGGGCTACTTCAGTTGTCTCCGGAAGCATTACAAACGCTCAGCACGGAGCTTTGAGGATGCGTGGGACTGTCCATATAAGACTTCCTATGTGAGCAGCTTGTCCACATACTGAGTACTATGGAAATCCCCTTACACTTTTGACAGGGAATTTCATTTCCATCTCTGGAGATCAGTAGAACACACCAATGCCTATGAAATGAAAATGAATGCATTTGTGGGTTATGTTTTGAAACCAGAACTCTGAGGGCTGATGATCATGGGATCTGCAGGGATTTTTTTTTTTGTTTGTTTTTTGCTCTTTATTGCACAGCGTGAATAATTAACTTACAACCTAATGATGTTGTCATTAAGGACACTCTTGTGAGGAAACACTTTCTATCAAAATGTCCCGAACTGAAAATAATGATTTGCTGCTTTTGTTTGCACTGCTTGTTATGGTAATGACAACTTGAGACATGAGGCGTGTGACCTCAGTAGTGTTAGGTCGAATGTGAGTCGAATCTTTTGAATCTCTTAAGCAAAATTATTAATTCAGTAGATCTTTCTGTGCATACACCAATGAGTGTTTCTGTACATCAGTGTGTGGTGAATGAGCCACTGAATCATTCACTTAACCAATTTGACCAAAGCACCGAATCCTTTATAATGGACGTGTTTAAACCCCGCATCTGGAGTCCTTGCATCGTGTGTGGAATCATGGGAGTTGTAGCCGATGCAATCCGATGGGACTCGGGCAGAAATCATGTTCATGGATGAGCTAATGATTTATTAAGGTAGTAGAATGAAGCAGGGTGAGGCTGAAAGCCTTCGAAGCGAAATGAGGCCGCTGAACGAGCGTGACACACGGCTCGAAAGCAACGGAGCTTTTATTATGCCACAGTCGACCGCTTCCACTCCTTCCGGTCGTGCATATGTGGGGAAAAAAGCAGCACTGTTTTATCATACTAGATACATTTGAAAGTTCTGTTATAATGCTACTCTCTGCGGTCGTCACCGGTCTATTAAAACGCACAACATATTAAAGCGTCTTTGGTGTTTCCATGTTTTCTACAAAACAAAACCGGAAATCGAGGGGTTATGACGTCATTGGCAGGCAACTCAGTCTGACACTATGGACACAGTCCGTGTCACTAGTTAAAATTGCTTATTTCTCTGGATTTAAACATTCTTCGAAACATTTGGGATAATGTAAGTACACAAGTCGGCAAAATATATAACACTGTTCTAGTGGTTTTTGGATATTTTAATAAAACAATCTTACATATTGTGCCTTTAACGAGTCAGTGGATGGTAATGAACAAGAATGATTCACTCACTGAAAAGATTCGGTCCAGTAGTCGTCATAATGAACGGCTGCGGGAAAAGCCAAGATGACAGTTCGGAATGTTCAGTGAGCAGGAGATCTGCTTCCGTTCCCCGTGAATTCCTCCACACTCCTCTCAGCTTGGAGGCAGGAGAGCAGCTAAAATAGGAAACAGGAAAGGGCAGACCATGGAAATGGCAAATTCCTAGCATTCTTAAATGGTCTTCTGAAGTACTTTAATGCAGAAAATTATACATCCAGTCCATTGTGATATTTGGAACGTAAGTGTTATTAAGTGACTAAAGAGTGACCATTTTAGCTGCTCATGGTGTCACAGCTGACACAGATGAAGTCATCCTTACCATGAATAAAGTTACCACAAGATATATTTACTCATCTCTGCATTGTCGACCTTATGGTTATTTTAGATGTAATTCAAAGGGCCCTAAGACTTGAGACTTCAGTAGGAGTTGGTTACGACCCATTCAGGTGTTCTGTGCCTGCTCCACAGCTGATTTTAGCTCATATTTCTCCCCACAGTAGCCTTAGATTCCTCAGAAGTTGTCAGTGTTTTTTTTCTTTTCTACAGACTCAAGATATTTCAAGCTGGGACATGTTGTCCTCACAAACACACTGTCTTTGTTGCACTATCTCCCATTTCACAGGAAGAAAATGTAACAGAGTTTCACAGCGTGTTAGGTATTTTTCAATGCTAATAAACCCAGTGTGTAGTGTTTTTTGTTTTGTTTTTGTTTTTATGGCCTTGAGCTCTCTGTCCTTTGGGTAGAGATGCCCTGTTTATGTCGCTTCAGTCTTCACCATATACATCAACACTGTATATAATAAAGTGTCAAAATTAGAAGAAATGTCTGATATGTAGCAAAAGTGTACTGGGGAACTAGGGTGTTTTTGATTTGAGTCATTATTTCAGGAGGAGTTTCTATAAAATTCCAACACAACTGGAAGTGAAAGCACAAAGTTTAATAGCTGTTTTAATTACACAGTAGTATGCAGTAGTATGTTTAATTGTGCATGCTCATTTTTCTCTATCCTTAAGTTCATCTTTAAAAACACTAATAATTTAATAACACTGTTAAGCGTAATATTTAGCAAATCTCAAAATGAATATCCATTGTCATACTGTACAATATAATGTTGTGGTATCTGTATTTTTAGCTGTAGCTAAATGACTGATTTTAAGTTTTGTGTGTATTTGGACAAAGCGGGATAAATATACACTACCTTTAAAAGTTTGGGATCAGTAAGATTTGTAAGACTTAGGGAAGAAATTAATTCTTTTTTTCACCAAGGGTGCCTTAAATTGATCAAAAGTGACAGTTAAGGCATTTATAATGTTACAGAAGATCTATATTTCAAATAAATGCTGCTCTTTTGAAATGTTCATTCATTAAAGAATCCTGAAAGAAATGTTTTACTGTTTCCACAAAAATCTTAAGCAATTCAATTTTAAGCTGTTTTCAACATCAATAATAAAGGTTTGTTAATAAAGCATCAAATCAGTATACTAGAATGATTGCTGAAGAATCGATACTGAAGACTGGAGATTCAATTATAGTTATTTTTGATTGTAAAACTATTTCATAATATTCCTGTTTTTACTGGAATATTATTGCATCCCTAGTGAAAATACCCTAAAAGTGAGTGAGTTAACCAGCTGAATCGTGCAGTAGAATCTATTGTAATGCATTTCCACTCATAGCAAGGCACAAAATAGTTTAAACCATGTGCATCAGTTTGGACATATATGGTCTGCAATGCACTATCAGTGGGTCACACAAGTAAACGGATCCATTCTGTGTTCTCTAATAGGTTGCACTACAGTTTTAGGCAGCACAGGCCTGCTCACAACGTGATGCATTTTGGTCTGTTTTTGTTGGTTTTTGCTCTTAGAGCCATGCAGCATGTGAGTTGGCATGTGTGATCCACACACACCTCTTCACACGCTTACACCCACATGCATTACCTGTGACCTGTGCTCAACTCTCCCATAGATGCGAGATGATAATGTTATGATGAAGCATCCTCTCTCTCTCACTTCCTACTTCTGTCTGCTGTCAACCCACACAAGCACGTTGCACATGAGCTCACACGCCATGCACACAGACCTTGTTACACAATGTAAACATTTTGGTTTCCAGTCTTTGAATTAGGACACACATAAAAACACACAAATTGTACTACACACACACTGCTCACAACACAAACCCTCTTCCACATGATAGCATTTTCATAAATATGGGCATGCAAGCACAAATCCTCTCTATGATAAGCTCTCTGAGCCAGGTTTTGTTTTTGTGGACGGTCGGGGTTTAATTTCAGTGCGACAACTGCTAATAGGATCGGGGTGTCGAGAAATAGTCTTTTGGCATTCTGGCAAATAATCTCACGTTCAACTTTCTTTCTCTGTGGTACTTTCAGTGCTTGGGTGGGTGGATGCAGGGGTGTTTAATGCGTAGTTAAAATAATTATGGGATAACACCCACACACATGTACACACAAATACTCCAACCTCCAAATATTGGGTATGTGTAGGAGTGCGTCTTATCTCTGGGCAACACTACTTTGGATAAACATTATGCATTAAAGATGCACTACATCAACACCTTTCAGTCTGAAAGGTTTATTGTCTATTGTTTATAAATGAATTTGCATTTGAATTGGTACTATAAGGCTGCACGATTATGACAAAAATCATAAATTGTCGATTAGTCCCTTGAAATTGTATTTGTGATTCTTAATTACAATTATCACATTGAATTTACATTGAATGATGTTTATTGTTTGAAGCAACTGCATGCCATATTTTTATATGAAAATAAACAAGCTGAAAACACTCTAACTGAAAAACTTGTATGGCTTTTCTATAGTATTAAGCCTCAAATGTCAATCGGATTGGCTTCTTCTATAAATAAAAAGTTAAAATTTACATGGTATTATAATGTTATACTAAAACTAAAATGTAAACAATGGAAAACCCCTTAAGATAACCTGTAGAAAGAAAAAACACATCTTAAGCATGTTGAATAGCATAAGTGGACATTGGACGATTAACCCTTTGAGCGGTACGTTCCCACATATGGGATTTTTATTTCCGTGCCCCTGGGAGTACGGTCCCACATATGGGATTTTTATTTCCGTGCCCCTGGGAGTACGTTCCCACATATGGGATTTTTATTTCCGTGCCCCTGGGAGTACGGTCCCACATATGGGATTTTTATTTCCGTGCCCCTGGGAGTACGTTCCCACATATGGGATTTTTATTTCCGTGCCCCTGGGAGTACGGTCCCACATATGGGATTTTTATTTCCGTGCCCCTGGGAGTACGTTCCCACATATGGGATTTTTATTTCCGTGCCCCTGGGAGTACGGTCCCACATATGGGATTTTTATTTCCGTGCC